TGAATATATACATACTACGTGTGTGCTCTATCGATACTTCATGTCCGCTATTTTCATGGTATGGATAGTTAGAAGGCCATAGGAATATTGACGAAAATATCGATATTGGACCTTCTATATTTCATCCCTATTTCGAATTTGCCGCCATGTACTAAAGCGAGAATCAGGAATGCAGAGAAATAAATATAAATAGACTCAGGAGAGAATTGAACATACCAAGTTCCTCACTTGCTCAGGTTAGGTGTTCCAAATTCTAGGAACTTTGCCCGAATCTGCTTAGCCCTCACGTCTTTTGAAGATCAAATAATTAATTGTATTTTGATTTTTGTATTTATTGATTGTATTTTGATTTCTTTTTAATCCAATCCATTTTAAATACAATTATACAATTACAGACATAAAACAGACTGACATTAATGCGATTTGTTTTAAAACTAGATCTAAAACGTTTATTTATAAAAATCATCTTTCTTTTTCTTTTTTTACTATTTATGAAATTTGCTACTGTACAAATTAATATATATTTAGCAAATGTGATACAAAGAAATATATGACATGACAAGGTTTGTAGAGAATCTACCCATTGGTAGCACTCTAATGAAGTATCTAAATCAGGAGATCACGAGGCCATTTTCTTTTCAGACGCCTAGGAGTGTTATCAGGGAACGAGGCGGAAGCAAGGTTAGAAACGAGAGGATTAGGATGCTTCTGAAGTTTATTATGGAAGGATAGATATCTGGATTATAATAATAATCTTCAGGCTGAATTCTTTGATTGTTACAAAATCCTTTCCCCTTAAAGTATATTTTACATATATAAAATTTAAAAATTGAATAGTTTAAAAGAGCAATACCAACAAAGCTAGGAAATGAATCGAAGGGAACAGAATTTCATTTTTTGACTTCTTATTGGTCATTTCTGTGTTTATTTTCCCACCATCGCAGCGTGAGAAATGTGAAGGAGATCCTTTCGCAGATTCATTTCTCACAAATCGAAACTACGAAAGACCAACAACTACCTGAGATTTGATCTATCATATCTGAACTAAGAATTATTAGAATATGTAATAAATAAATCGAAAAGTCGCTCTTTTTTTTAAAAATGCCTCCCAAAAATCAAGAAATCCCTCGTCCTGTTTAAAACTCATCAACAAATATTAAAACCATTGCTTATTTTTCTAATTCCTGCCCAGGCCTAATTATTTGTGATGTGAGTCAAAACCTTGGATAAACAACAAATAATTAAACATATTGCAACATATGCCTATGCCACCCTTGACCAGTTATTGGTTCAATATCCACTGTCGACCGTTATATAAATAATTTCAGCTGCCTGCTTAATTACAAACATAATTTTTTTTCCCCAAAACCAAACATCGAAAGTATCTGACATTTAATTTTTCCGGAATCAAAGAATTTAGATCAGACATAATCAAATGATTCGGACGTGATCAAACAAGGTCCTAACACGATAGCGTTGACATTTAGTCAGCAAAGGGCGTGCCCATCCAATTAAAAATACATCGGTAAATTTATGTAAGATTACGTGAAGCGAAGTCTGAAACCCCTGTAATTAGTGCTATATTTACACTTCGAAACCGTCAACATATTCTTCTCAATATTTTGATAACCCAAGAAATTAACATGATAATAAATAACCAAAGTAAAATAGAACTTTAACGTACTTTAAAAGTAAACTTATATTTAGGCCTAAAATGTATACGGGTAAATTACAATAAATTGTTTTTGCGAAGCAAGTACTATTTTAAATGAAATTTTATTTTTTTTTATATTCTAATTGTCAATGTTGTATTAGATGTGGATGTATAAATAAAACTAAAAAATAAATAAATAAATTATTTTAATTAGTAAATTTATAATTATCTACAAAACCACAATAGGTGTGATATTTTTTGTCAGGATAGAGTACAATTTATTTCATCTATCATTTAAACATTTAAAGTTATAATATTGGTTTATATTTCTGTTTTTTTTTTTTTTACTCCATCTATCAAAAAAAATATTTCCTATTTTATTTTCAAAATTAAAATATACCGTTTAATTGATTTTTTTTTTTGTATGTATTATTTTTTTTTTCTTTAGAGGGGGGATGGTTTATATTTTATTTTATTGGGTACATGATCAAAAATATTTCAATAACAATCAATGATTTGTGGTTTGACAACAAAGTATAGGGGACGAGCCGTTTTATAAATATAGGCTTAAGGAGGACAATTTACTGTTCATGCCTATCCAAAAGAAGCTGATGGAATTTGAAAAAAAAAAGAATTTTACCGGATTATTTGTACATTACTCCCCGACTTTGAGACAAATCTTACGAGCTGTTCTTTAAATATAGTCGCGTTTAGAAAATAAGTTTGCGTATTACCCGCATAAAAATGGAATTTGATGTGGAGCCACAACCGCTGAAAATTTCATCACAATCGAATTAGCAATAGAATAGTGTACCCTACATGGATTTAACTATAGATAGAGAAACACATCCACATTTCCTACGTGATGTCTAAAACGTACGGGAACTTCCGATTGTCCAATCTCTATATTAACACAAGGATTCTCTACCTCCAGTAATGAGGAAACAAAAGTATAATTCTAGACGAATAATTTGAATGGAAATATGTACCATATTTAATTTTAAGATAAATTAAACACCTTCAATACCACGATAGTTGCATGAGGCTCGCTGGAAGTCAATGCAAACGAGCTCTGATGCAGTTCTCCCCGCCGACACATTACGCCAACACAGCACGGTAGCGTGTCTGATGGCAGACTTTTTAAATAGTTTACTGAGGAAACGTCTAGGTTAGTAGGCAGTAATTAAAACGATGTTATTATAGGACGTTTCTAAAGTAGGAATCAGTGCGTGAACTGCTTCCAGCATTTTACAAGCTGAAATATCCGGAGTAACGATTTAGAGAACAACGGTCACTATAAACATGGAATTCAATCATTCATAATTAGAATACCACAAATATTTAAATATTACATTTTAACTTTAAATCCCACATGTAAAGAATCTAATTATTTATTTATTATTTTTAATCGTTGTCCTCTGCAACTCATTCATATTAATTAATCTAATTTTCTTCTTTTTAGGACTTATTAATTATTAAGTCTAGTTACTTATCAAGATTTATTTATTTATTTATTTGGTATTTTGTTGCCTCTACCCTGTAGGGTCATTGGCAACGCCTTTAAATTACACTCTGTTGCAGAGTTTTATCACTTTCGTTAACGATTTCGTCAGGGTCAGTTATAATGTCTTGTCCACTCTTTATACCAGGCAATTTCTTTGTTTTGGAGATCCCCTTAATGCTTTCACTTTATTCCAGAGCTCCTTCATTGAAATGCTTTGATTTAATGAAGATACGAAGTCTTCCCATGACGATCTTTTGCTTTTCGGTATATATCGTAATCTTTGTATCTCACTGTTTGAGTTTCTTGTAAGTGTGTTTCTTGGAGACAAACTAGAATTCTCTTCGCTTATTGTCATTTTTAGGTGCTCTAAATGTCGGAAAATCTGTTACAATTCCATTGAATGATTGTTTTCATTTTATCAAGATTTAAAGTAATCAAGAATTTAACATAAAATAACTTATTCTAAGGCCTTGATATTAATCAATAATAAAAAACATTTTTCCTATTAATTGTGGGAGTCATAACAAAAATTTAACATGTAGATGTTTTTTTTAAAGATTTTTTATAAAATATTCTACAAACTATAAATAATATTATGTTTATAAATGGTATGATTAGCAAAATACACTTCAGAACCAGCTCAAAAAAAAAAATAATAATAATAAAACACTTTTAAATGGCAGAATAGAATCTTCAAAGCACAGGCAGTGAAATAATCACAAGCTAATAAATAATTACAAATTATTATAAACAAACAACAATAAAGGAACTACATTATAATATCCTTATACTCAATTAACCAGCTTTCAAGCATTCATTTATTTTTATTTTTAAAATTAAAATATCAAAAATGTTTAACTAAGTTTTATAATTGATTTTAATGCATGATGCTATAACATTACTTCACAATTTCTAAAAATACTTGTATTAACCAATGATAATTTAATGAAGCCAATTTAATTAATTGTTTTCAATTTTAAACATCTATAAAAAGAGAATAAAGCATTAGAAAAATTACCTGCTTAACAGGAGCAATTATAAAAGATAATTACATTTCATCAAACACCTCATAATTAAAAAAATTCACTCACCTGAAAAAAAGTTGTTAATCAAAAGATCAGATCATTAAAATTATACTCATATAAAAAGAATTACAATTCAAGTAAACACATTGTCAGTTTATAGTGAAAAGTCACTATGTACATTTTGGATGTAGCTAACTTTTAAGTACCTTTTTGTGAATTTTGAGCTTATTTATAAATCCAAAAACACAATAATTTAATCGATCGAAATGACACAAACCCTTTTCTATACCAAATATAATAACATTCAAGGACCAATGTTCTGGATTAACAGATGGAAAATTCATCAAGGTACTTAATGGTTTAATTTTATGAAATGTCACGTAATGACTTCTAGTGATAAACCGACATGATTTATGTATTTTATAAAGATCAACTAAAGGAATACTTCTAGGAGTGGAAATGGTTAGCATCAGTTAAGGGGAACACCAAAAATTAAATCTTAATTGAACTAAAGGCAAATCAAACCCATTCACTCCAAACCTTATTCTATTCTGAGACCCTATTTCTAATGTGCTCAACTACCATTAAGGTTATCTTCTGTTTTAATACCCTTAGTAACTAAAATTACGGTTGTAAAGAATTGCTGATAACTGAATATCATCCAGTTTGATAAGCGTGTACAGAATCAATTAGAAACTAAATTAGAATGTTTGACATACCCTTGAATTGTTAACTAATAGATTAATTTATTCATAACATAAAATTACTATAAAAATTGAAACAGAAATAAATCAAAATGCAATGATACACTACAGATATTAAAACTATAACTTAATTTGTTTCAGGTTTGTTTTTTGGAGTTCTCGCATCGAAGCCAACAAATAATGCTACATTGGGTGAATTACCTGCCAAAGAAAGGAACAGGAGGTTAATACCATACATGACATATTACCTCAGCCAAGGGCAAAACCAACCTTACAGAGCTGTGATGGCAGTGCCATATTTAGCGGTTCCCCAGTATAGGCAATCGATCCCTCAGAGGTACATACAACAGCCATCATCCCTCACCAGAATGATAACCCAAAACTATCTAACAATGTCAAAACTTGAAAATCAGAGAACCCAAACAAGATTTAATCCAAACTATCCTCAAGAACTAAAATATTATGTACCACTTCAGAACGCACAAAGCAATGCAGCACAATATCAAAAGATACCTGCAACTTTTCAATACTTAAAACCTCAAATATCTGAACAACAAGCTGAGTATGAACAACAAGAGTCACCAGTTGAGCACTATGCGAAGCCTTCAGCAGATGAAGTTATACAATTTGCAAAGCCTGAAGTACAGCAGTATGTGACCAAATACCCTGAACAATTCTTACACTATGCAAAAGAATCTGATTATGACACTGGTCATCAAACTCAAGTTCCACAGTACATAACAAAAACAGTAGAACCACAACAATACGCAATAAAAGAAGATGATATACCATATCAAATACAGAAACCAAGTATAAAGTATGTTCAACAGATACCTCAAGGGCAAATAAAACACGTTTCACATACAGCAGAATATCCAAGCAAACCGTTATCAGCATATAAACTACAAGCCGAGAAAGAAGGTCAGACAACATTTACAATCACCCAAAGCCAAGAAATAGAAGTAGAGCCTATGCCATCAACACCTGCTCCAGCAGCTAAATATCATGCAACATATGTTGCCGATCAAGAACAATATAACCCTTATCAGTCCTATTACGATGAAAACGTAGAGGATGAGGAGCCAGAGGTGATAGATAGAAACATTAATGATATCCTTCGGGGCGGAGTTTCACTAAGTAAATCCCTACCAGACAAAATCACGACAGAGAACTTGGATTCGAGTATTAAAACCTTATCAAAAATATTAAGAATACTGCAAGCAGCCCATTCTCTACCTCATTCAGCAAAATCTATAATAAAGAGTTTTCCAAACCCAAATGAAGTGAGAGTGAAAGATCCACATGTGAAGTTACCACCTGTACATGGTCCAAAAGACGACAGTGGAAGTACACCTGGAAGGCCAGGGGTTGATTATCCGGTATATGACGAAATACCAGAAACACATTTTAGCTGCAAAGACCAGAGGTATAAGGGATTTTTCGGAGATCCAGAAACTAAATGTCAGGTAAGAATTTATTGAAATAATTTAAGCCATTTTTGATAATTGTTTAAAATCAACACTGACAGATTGTTTTATTAATAAATTAAAGTAATCAAGCAATAGCTCACAAAGTAATTTTCGAGGAGCACAAGCTTTTCTGAACCAGGGCAAGAGTCTCTGTCAATTCATTAAAGTTCATAAAGAATTTGATCAATCACAACAAAAATGAGTAAAATTTATGCGTTCTAGAACATCAAACTAATAGATTATGGGATTAGCTTCATTTTTCTTGTTACGGAATCTAAAGCAGAACAGTGATTCTATCAATAAAAACTTATTAATTTACCCTCTTTTGAAGGTCATCGGCTTCTGTTGCTATTTCCTAGCTAAGAATGAAACTATTTCTTCCTTGTTTTATACCACTCGTTTTTAAAAGCTAATAAAATAGAGTCTCTACTCTCATGATGTAGCTCTGTCCCCACTAGTTTTCTATAACGTTAATTATCTTTTCAAACAAGCATCAGAAAAACATACACTGATTATATTTTTATTCTTATAACCTAATCTTCGCTGATGAATAAAAACTTAAAATTCATGTAAGTAGCCAATTGTTTTTAAAAACCACCAAGTTAAATACTTTATATTTTTACTTTTTCTCTGGATCATTACAAGAGTGGTGCATCAAGCAACATTCAATCTCAGAGTTAATCATTTGTCATTAAATCTAAATGGTGCGTATTTAAGACCAGATTTTAACATTGGTAAAGCGAGACATCATTAACTGAAAGAGGGGAGGTTCTTGATTAAAAAGTCTAAATCTGTAGTTACGATAATTGATTTTACGTAATGATAATTTTGTGAAAATTTTAATCAGATGACATGGTGTTGAGCTTAAATAATGTTGATAATTTAGTTCTAAACGCATATTTTTTAGAGCAAATCATTTGATGATTTATTTGTATATAATGACGTCTAATTTATGACTTTAATAATGACACAGCTTTTAAGACATAAACGTATTGTGCCAGCAGTTCGTGCACAATCAAGCAGCTCTTTTTAAAAATACTATAAAACTTAATGAAGGTGACAACATTTCGGTAATCGAAGTACTAAATGAAGTTAAATTTCTGATGCCTAAGATTTTACTTTTTCTTTATCAATATGTTTTTTAATAACAAAACTCATTAAAAAGATAATTTTCATATTGTTTATTACCATTAAGTCCAAACAATGGTGATCGAATTTTAACAACTGACCAACTACGCAAACTTTGCTAAGCGGTTCAAGATAATCAGTTCTTAATAATTATTTGTTATTATTGGTGTTTTACAATAAAAAATCAACAAAAATTATATAAAACTGATTTCCTGGCGAAATAACTACATGGCCAATGAAAACCGTATATTTTCTTCCTATTCTCCTGCCGTTCCCTGGCTTAAAAAACTTAAAGCTTAAAAATAGAGACTGCCTGGTCATCTTATGTATGTTCCTTTCCATCCAGTTTACAGATATGACAAGGAAGTCAGTAAAGAGGTGATATGAAGTTGAAACATTGACCATTGAGTCCTATGCAGTTATATTTCAAACCTGTTTATCATCAATATAATTTAGTCTTGCAAAGCTACTTCTTGGTAAAAGGAAACAGACAAACTAAAGTTCCGAGGTTAATACAATTTTACAAGGATACAATTTAGTAACTTATATATCAGAGGCAAACATAATGGCACCCAAAATATCATTATGAGACCTTAATCATGTGAATGAGGCGACCCTCCTAGGGCACACCCAGCCTCTATAAAGTGGGTACCCTTAATTAAATATTTAATTAAGGGGAAAAACCTGGCGGTTGAGTGTGATCTCGGTCAAATCACCTCCTTGCACAACTGTTGACCTAGAAACAGTGCTTTCCCTAAATAGTACTGAACTCCAGACCCTTCATGGGTTGTAGTGGTACAGGTTTTTTTTTTTTTTAATCATGTGAACACTTCATAACTTTAAATTCATTGTTTAATTCAAGTGTCAACTTGTTGGACTGAATAATTATAACAGTATAGATTTGAAAATAGCATATACAGGTTATTGAACACTGAATTTTAAATAAAAGATATTGGATACTTGGGAAAAATATACAATTAAGTTGAATTACAGTTGAGTATATATGCTTTTAATGCAAATGTACCTTATGTTATCCTCGAAAGGCTGAGATTATATTCATTGAGATGTTATCGAATGGAAACTGAGAATTTTTTACTTGTATATTAAAATAATTATTTTTCAGGTTTGGCATTATTGTGATCTGAATGGAGGACAAGCCTCCTTTCTCTGCCCCAACGGAACAATATTTTCACAGGTAGCCCTCACATGTGATTGGTGGTTTAATGTAAAATGTGCATCAACAGCACAACTCTATGTTCTTAATGAGCGACTGTATAAATTCATTCTGCCACAAAAACCAAGTTTTCCAGAGGATTATGCTGGTCCTTTAGTGGATCGCTACCTCACTCAGAAATTCAAGGAAATAGAGGAGAAGGTTAGTTTTATTTATCTTTATTTATTTGATCTTCCTATATTGTATTTCAAAATACTAGGTTTCAATTTCATTGCACAAAATTGTTATAGTTTTTTTAAGAAATATGATTTTTTTATGATAAAGTAAATTTTGTTTGAATGTCCATCATATACATTTATGAAATATGTATATCAGTTCCATGCATGTTTCATTATTACCATGCAAAGTTTAATTATTACCAGGCGCAGCGGTTAATAATTCTTAATTTTACTAAAATTGGTTCACAGTCTAAACCCTTATGTTATTTAGTTGCTATGACAGTACATTTCGAAACATCATTAATGCTTCAAAGATTTCGGTTAGCCTCATATTTTTTTGTGTTTGGAAAACATGTCGACATTCAAGCCAAATATGGATTATTTACTATGGAGTATTTATGTACCAGTGTTGGGCATTTACTCGAGCAAATGTCCAGCGGTGACGTCACGAGTGATCACTCTTAGAAGCTTAGCCATCGGTAAATTTGAAAATTACTCATGAAACATTTTTCCTCCAAGAATAAATCACTTGTGAAAAATGTTATCTCCATGAGAAAATCACTCATGAAAAATTTTAACGCCATGAGTAATTTTGAAAAAAAAATGTTTTTATTTTATATAATCTAATTTTTTTTGTCACCTTTCGGATTTAATCCATATCAGGGTCGACTGTAAAGTTTTGGGGGGCGCTTTTTATGAAAATGATGTCGCTTTTGAGATTGGGCCCACCAGACCTCGACTTTTTGTAACTTTTCGGATTAAACCAATATCAGGGTCGACTATTATGTTTTGGGGGGGACTTTTTAAGAAAATGATATCGAATTTGAGATTGGGCCTCCCAGGCCTCGACTTTTTTTAACTTTTCAGATTAAATCGATATCAGGGTCGATAATCGACAGCATTTTCATAAAAAATGCCCCCTAAAACATAAGAATCGACCCTGATATCGATTTAATCTGAAAAGATAAAAAAAGTCGAGACCCGGGGGGTCCAATCTCAAAAGCGATATCATTTTCATAAAAAGCGTTCCCCAAAACTTAATAGTCGACCCTGATATCGATTAAATCCGAAAGGTGACAAAAAAAAGTAGATTATATAAAATAAAAACTTTTTTTTTTCAAAATTACTCATGGCGTTAAAATTTTTCATGAGTGATTTACTTATGGAGATAACATTTTTCACGAGTGTTTTACTCATGGAGGAAAAATGTTTCATGAGTAATTTTCAAATTTACCAATGGCTAAGATTCTAAGAGTGATCACTCGTGATGTCACCGCTAGACATTTAATCGAGTAATTGCCCAACACTGTTATGTACTACTTTTCTAACTGCTTTCTTATTCAATCAAAAGAAAAATGCAATTGAAAGTTCTTGTGGACTTGAAATACTCGTGGAAACTTATGGTGACAATGTCTTAACGCAAGACACTAGTTGGTTTCAATTTTTTAAATATGATTTGACTTGAAAGATAACACAAAAATGATATGTAAAAGCAACAAACACAGAAATTAAATATTGGTCCTCGAACCATTTGTTTGTTTGTCTCCGTGCCATAGGAAAGATTCAAAAATCAGGAAAAGCAGACAGACAGAAGAGCAAAAAAAAAACGGTGTGCAGAGTTTTGCTTCCTCGACATAAAAGAAAGACTCTTTTGCATCAGATCGTGAGTGGAGATGAAAAATACATATATGTTCCGAGAGCCCAAAATCCTGAAAATCATGGGTTGACCTAGGACAATCATCAACATTATCCACAAAAGCAAATCACTCAGAAAAGAAGACAATGCTCCGCATTTGGTGAGATCGAAAGGGTGGTGAGTACCAAGAGATAGCTTTCGCTATCATTAAAGAAAAAATTAATAATTATTAACCTCCATATCTGGTAATATACCATGGTAATAAGTTTTAATGTCTTTGATCGAAATGTTTGTAATTGTTTCAGGTTGGTCAGTTTAGTGACCCCACAACTTCATAATAAATATTCGTAACTAGCATTAGTCCAAACTGTTTTTATCAACTTTGGTGCTTGCATATTGTTACATGAGCTCTAACATCTAACTCTGTAGTTGAAAAAAATAAATTAAGAATCTAAATTGATTCATTTTTCAACTCAGATTGAATGTGATTATAACCATTCAAAACAATAAACACCACCTTATCGCTATCACTCTATAACATTAACAACACAACTTAATTCAAGAGCATGTCTAAGTTAAGTCTCCTGGATTCTTGTCCCATTCTTCTCTTGATAAATAGATTAAACAAACATAATCTTAATAAATACTGTTGTGATGACGTATATTTAAGAAGGTTAGCATGAATTATATACAAAAGTTTAATGAATAGCTGAATTCAAACAGAATAGTTAGGTGCCCAGACACTATCGGGGTAATCAACTGATGACATTGGAGGAACCTTATAAACTGTAAATTAGTACTCTTAAATTTATTCAATATTCCGGAAAAAGAACTTATGACAAATTTCAAGATTTATTATTACTTATAAGATCAATAAAAGCTATACGAAAAACAGAACTACTTTTCCTCTATACTTTTTGTATCGTAGGATGGCAACCATAAGAAGGGAAGTACAAGGTTCAATCAAATAATCACAGCTTTTATATAATCATTTCTTCTCCATGCGTGAGTGAACTAAAATCAATCTTCCTAGTGATTGATACTTCTTTTAATATTTTTCAATTTAACTAATATTATTTTAACTGGAAAGGATTTTAATATTCAAAAGTACAGATTGTTTCTCAGAATATGGCAGTGTCATTTCAATTTTCAATAAAAAGTGGACTAAAATAAATCTTCTTAAGATCTCCTCAATTGATATGAATTAAAAAAAAAAAATTTCTTTTTATTATTTACCATATTTTTTTTTTTTTTAGAACAAAAATAAAACAGAAGAAGTAAGCAATAATGATGAGGAATTCGAACCACCATACTCAATTGATTTAGCATCGAAGAATAAAGTAAGATCAGCAGGATAGAATTTGACATGGCACCTGATACGACAACAAATCTTAAGAGTCTCCTTATTCGAGTAACATTGTGATGAGTGTGAAACCTAGATGGATATACATAGTTTTATTAATAAAAATAATTCTGTGAGAAGTTTTCTAGTTCACAAACAAAAGGTTTTCTGATAAAAACAACAAGAAAACAAATTGAGAGGCTCGAAATAGATATAAGCTAGTCATTAAAATTCCTCAAATACTTTTCATTTAAAATAACTTATTTAAAAATACAATTAAGTAAGCAATACAAATCTTTGCTCAAATTGAATATATAAAATTTGAGTGCCAATAAATTGAGGATAAATGCCATTGTTTGAGGAACATTAATATTAAAACAAACTTGTATTATATTCTTATCCTTAATATTTTTCCTATATAGAATAGCATTGATTATAAAAATATGCCTACTAGTATTATATTATTTATGCCATTAATTGCAACAACATTATTTTTCTTATTACTTAAGAAAATTTAAGATTAATAGAATGTTTTGTATTTATAAAAAAAGTTTTTATAGATATTTTAATTGCTGTATTATATGGCTTGTAAAATAAATGTAATTTTATTTATTGGCTTCAATCATTTATCCTTAGGTAAAATAAAATGACAGAAAGTTGTAGCTATTGATTATGGCTAATGATAAGACCAAATCTGTATGTTTTATTTTTAAATTATAATATACAAAAAGGATGACCAGGACTGTTACTGTTGGAACTAATCTGGTGAGTAGAAATTTTCGTTCTTTTCTTTTTCTTCTTCTTATACTGAACTAATCTGGTGAGTAGAAATTTTTGTTCTTTTCCTTATACTTATTCAATAATCTCTTCTACCTTTCTGTGTAAAGATTTTTTCACAAGGATTTCCATCTGTCTCTTTCAAGGGCTGCTCTCCTGGCTTATGGGCAGGAGTCATTTTCCCACTGGTTTAGCCTCCATAGTTTTCTTTGCTGAATGGCAGTCATCCATCCTCATTACATGACCGAACCATCGAAGCTACCCTTTTCAGTGTAGTCCGTATCGTTGTGTTACGTATCCCATCTCTCTTGGTCTTTCCCTCTATTTTCCTCAGATACCTCATTTCTATGCTTTGGAGACAGCTACGATCATGTTGCTTTAGGACCCAGGATTCAATTCCATAAGTGAGGACAGGAACGAATGTCGAGTGATAGACGGCTAATTTTTTTTTTTTTTTTTGCCACTTCCCTCTCACTTAAAAACTTCCTATTGATGGCAGAGAACATCCTTCCTGAAATGGCAAGTCTCGCATTAATTTTGTCTCTGATTTTCCTGCTCTCAATGATCGTCACACCCAAATATGTGAATGTAGGAACCTGTTTTATTACCTCTTCTAATGAAGCATTAATATGCAAATCCCAAAATTCTTGTTCCAGCATACACTTGATCTTGGAAGTGCTAATGAACATATTTCTTTTTGCTAACTCTTCTGCCCAGACATCTAAATTTTAATGTCAACTATTAGCATAATGTCATCAGCAAATGCAAACGATCAACAGTTGACTGGTCGTAATTTCCAATAACCAAGTTGTGTCTCCTTGGTTCTCCTCTTACATTCCTTAATAACATCATCCATGAGCGTGATAAAATGTAGAGGGCTCCCTGCGTTCATACTTTTCTGCTGTTTCTTAATCGCTACCTAGCGATTGCTGCCCTCATACTAACGAGAGAGGGAGTGTCATGGTTTATTTTGTGGTATTGCCAGTAAATATGAACAGAAAAACCTGGGAATGGAATCCACAATGTTCTGAACCAAGTACACTGGGATTCTCATCCTAAAGTTTGTTCAACAAACCCATCCTCGAACAGTTCAGAACATGATTAATAATGAATGGTAAAAACTTAAAACCCCGCTCATTCTAATATATTTTAAAGTTTTCATGCAAATTATAATCTACTGATTCATAAAATAAATCAAAGAACTTATCACAAACTACTTAAATGGATTAAATACACAATAACACGCTGCCAGTCGCTGGTATGTTTATGTACATTGAACTCCAAATAGGCCACTCGTACACATGTTATACTAGAGTCACATATGTTAATTATAGTTTTACAAACAGTGTATTGGGATCTAATGAATGGCAGATAATAAGGCTAGAAAAATATATTGAGAATTTGTAAGAATTTTTATTATACTAAATTTCAATGTTTTTTTTTAAATCCTATTTAGATTAACAAGAATTTAGGATAATCATGGTCCAGGTTAGCAGGTTTTTACTATAAGTAAGAATACAAGGGTAAAGATCACCATCTCTCAATTGATTGCGAAAAGGCCTATGTTTTTATTGAACACCAAAAGTTGTATAAAATATTTTGACAAGACAGATTATACCAAATAAATTAGTAAATACAATGAGATTGAGCATGTCAAAACTATTTCATCATTTTAAAATATATAAATAAAGTAAAGCAGTAAAAGTTGTGTAAGTAAAGTAATATTTATCCTGATATTTTTGAGATCCATTTGTATACAGAGACAAGGTCAAAAGGAAAAGATCAGTTGGTCACCCATGAATCACTTCTAAAATATATTGAAAAGCTGGACACAGATTACGGTAAGATATTGAAACAGATGAAAAGTATGACAATGGAAAAAGTATAGAAACAGAAGAATCAGCCCATGGCGAGCTGTACACTGATAGACATAAGCACCTAATGAAGGATGAAGAATTATTTAGACGTTTTGCAACTTTAAAAAATAAATATATAACTTAAAACATTTTATTATACATTGTCGATATTAACAATGTAACAAAAATTTATTAAGTAAGATTTCATAAAAGTAAATCATAAAGGACTTGATGATTTTTTCTTCTATGAAATCACAAAATTTCACACTTAGTGTAACTAATTATTTTTTATAAACAACAGAGTTTGTGTCATTTCAGTGCACTTATTTCATTTTGGTTTTTGAATAGACAAATAAGGACAAAACTCATAAAAACACACTCAAGTTTAGCTCAATCAAAAAAATACTTAAGTGAATTTTTGCAATAAGCCAATGATATGTTTTCCTTATTTTTTATACATTTTAGTATTGTCACCAGGCAATATTTCTTTCTGAATTACATGATTTTTCAATGAACAAATAAATAAGATTTAAAAAATGCCATTACCTTTTTAGAAGACTTCAGTCTTGCAACAATATTTGACACATCCATATACCGTTGAATAAATTCTTCTTCAAAATCAATATCCTAAAATTCAATTAAAATATTAATGACATCAATGTAAACAATAATTGATAACTTTGTATTATTACATTGTTCAAAGATACGTTCGACATTTAAGCCCTGTCAGACTATATCATTTAGGATGAGGCTTATCAGATATAAAAAAAATATTATTAATTGTATATTGATATAATGAGTTTAATAAAAATTATTGGAGCCATTTTTGAGATAATTGTAAAAATGTGTAAAATTAGCTATATAAAGTGTCACCTCTAGTAAGCTGATTTTTTAAAGAGGAAAATCAGCGACAACTCAGGTATATACATACCTTTAATACATAACTTTAGTTTAATACAACTTTCCATTTTTGGTCTAGGCTGTTCACACAAGACTATTTTGTGAGACTTATTTGGACTCAAAACTTGTATTTCTGTGAAAAATTTGGATTTAAATATTTATGACTGCAATAGTTTCCATAACTATATTGGTTTTATATATAGGACGTAAGTGAAAGTTCAATCAAACAAGCTGTTTCTGAAGTATTGGCACATCTAAAAAAATACATTTGCGTGTGCATAAGTGGAAGTACTCGGTGGAATTTAATAAAATTGATATGAGACCATCTAGACACCAACCCACACAAAATTTCATAAAAATCAGATAAATGGTAGTAGCTGATATGCCCGTTACATTGATTTGACTACAGAAAGACACTGTAGAACTAAATTTGATTCTAGATGACTGAAATGTAAAACGCAAGTGGAAATTTTCGATTCTAAGCTCAAATTTTTTTTAACCTGTCGCACGAATACAAAGCTTCCCTACCTTAAGTAGTGAGGAAGCAAAAAAGTGTTTTCTTTCATTTAATCTAATATTTTTTTGGAGGCTGGGTAAAAACTTTTGGTACTTATCAAAATATATTTAATTAACAAATAAAAATTAAAACTTGATATAAACAAAGAAAAACAAACATTTTATTTGGGGAACAAACAAATAAAATCTCTTGTGATAAAATAAATGATTAAAAAATCCCTGGTAGTCTTGTTAGCAGAGTAAGGAATTACGTTTTGAAACTCCAGATTTACTTTCTCATAGATTATTACTCTTCATATTTTTTGAATTCAGTGACTGTTTCTCTACCATGTTTTCTTTGTAAATGAGACATAAAATTGATAGTCCTATTAGTAGTATGCTCCATGATCTTTGATGTCTACATTTTTATGGATACAAAGCATGCAAGTGCCAAAAAATATTTTCCATCAGAACGTTTTAATTTTAAAAAGATTAAAATGATGATCTTGAAATTTGAAGTCCTTTCCTCTTCTTCATTTGATGAATTGGAGATTGGATCACTGGTCCTAACAGGTTGGATCAGATATGACACAGACATTCTGACTTATCTCTTTAACAGTTAAATGGGTATCGGCTCAAATATTCAAGGAGATAGCAACTACATTACAGCGATTATCCTCATCATTTTGTTGACCAAGAAATTTAATGTTAAATAATGTTTGGCATGAAAAGACAAGTTAACTCGTCACTGTTCAACAATGTTTAAGACAAATCGCTCACATTTGAGAGTGATGAGTGATGATTAAAAATGTGATGTGTGATTGATGAGTGTGATTGATGATTAAATTTTCACTCATGATTAATACTTCAGTAAATGCTCAACACTGATTTGGTTACAGCCATCCCAGTGACCAAGTGAACTATTTTCGATTAGTCTAGACAAAATCCAAGTTAGACGATTGGAATTAAGTTGTTCATTTTTTGTGATTCATATCAATATTAATTTAATTCATTTAATTGTGAGAGCTAGCTAGTAAGGAAAATTTTACTGAAACAGCAGCTAAGGAAGACATGAAGTTACATTTCTTAGTAGCACATTAGTTGTAACTGGCTCCCAGTTTAGGAATCATGAATGGATTTTAATAAGAATTCGCCGACATACCTAACATATTGTGGAACTCTTAACAGCCAATTTAGAGAGTTACACAGAAGTTTGTCATGAAGTAATGCATGTTACCAGGGTTTGTTGATAAAGATCATTTATCATATTAAGCAATAAAATAAAAAAATTTTAGTTTCTAAATTGAGAATAGAAGGTCATAGTATTAAACTGCAACATCTAATACGTTTTAAAATTCTATTTCTTCGGTTTTAGAATGGATAATTTTTTTTTTTTTTTTCTATAATTATAGTGTTAGTGGAATTTTTTTTTAATGTTTTTTTTTATTTTTTTTAATACATACCACATTTTCAATTTTATCCACTGTATGACCATTGTGTGATTCGACCAAACAATAGGAGCAAGCTGTAGTACGACAAGGGAGGCAAAAAAATTCAAGTTTGTGTTTGCTATGGGTCAAGCACATCATAGATAAATCAGCGTCGAGGCATAAATAGGAATCCAATAAAGACATCCTGACATGATTTCTGAAAGCTTTGGCAGATGCATGAACCTGGAACAATAAAAAAGAGAAGGGTGTAGCCAAGACTTCATAATTTATGTTTTCTAGTCAAAATTAATCTTACAAAATAATTTTTTTTAAGAGAAATGTAAATATTCTTTTTTGTATATTTTATAAATACTTATATGTTTTAGCTCGCACTACGCTGCCTCATTGAGCAGTGTGTACCACCAGTGGCGCGTATTTGATTGTGCTATCAGGCGGTGCATAGCTCCAAAAATTTAAATCATTAAGAAACAAGAAAAGTTTCTGTATAGTTGAAAAATAAAATAATGGAACATATTTTTTTTATCGAATATAACATATATTAATTGAAAATATTCATTTTTAATAACAATTATAATTACTAATGTATTACAAACAACTTTAATTCAATATAAATATAGCTGAAAAAAGTTTCATTCAATGCTTTAGTTTAGAGCATGTCTAAATGAGCCAAAATTGAGTTTCAGTGCCAGCGTTAAATAAAATAACTGTAGTTTAATAACTTAAAATCCTGTAATAAATTTAAATAATTAGGTATATATAATATAAATATATAAATGTTATTATTATTATATTATTGTTATTAAATGTTATATACTGATTATATATAAATATATCATTGCTTTATTCCAACAAATTATTAATTATCATTTTATAATGTTAAATCAATGAATAATATTATGAATTTTCCCACTGTGAAATCACAATGTTATGCATTTCTACTTTTGAACTCTCGATATAGTAGGCAATGAAAATCTCAAAACTTGGTTTTGGTAAATTTTGTAAAAGAAATAAATAAGAGTTTAAAACTAATACAAAAATAGTTCCTACAATTTTTACTATGTAGCAAACTCTGTAATTATTTATTAACTAAATATATACAGATACTTTCAAATCACTCTTTGTATAAGAGCTAAGAGACCGGCATTATAAGGTCCAAATAAACTGATGGAGTTAGGTTTTCATTGCCTTAAGTCAAAATAATAAATAGGGTTTGTTATTTTGATGGTCTTAATGAGTTTTTAAATTGATATATATGACTGAAATTCACAAAGCTGAAATTCCATTAAAAATGAACTTCAAAAATTTTTTGTAATAGCCAAATTTAGTCAGAAAATAATTTCCACTCAAAGTAGAGTAGTTAAGTAAAAGTTGTGCTCGCTAGATTTTTTTCTTTACCAACCTTACTCATGTTAAAAATAAATGCATTAAGTTTTGCTAAGACACTATAGAAGTGTACCATATGATCAGAATGCCACAAAAGCTTGACACGTTTGTGAATTTATTTTAAATGTACATAAAAGCAATTAATTATAATATAAGAAATATAACTCTAGATAGAATACTAACCAGCTTGAAACATTGCTGACAGTAGGGCGCCTCGCACTGCTTGCAATGAAAATCGGAAGGGTTGGCACCACATTCATTACATAACACTAAGAAAAAACACATAAAAAAATAAAATGTATTACTATATTAATGAGAAAAAAAAATTAAATAAAACATAAATGTTTGGGTGACCGCATAGTAGAATGGCAATACAAGAGCCGATAGGTACGAAGATAGAATACCGAGCAAAGATAATTACATTGTATAGTAGATTGGAGATTGGTCATATGTTGAGAACTTTAGTTTTTTTGTAAAGACTTTAGTATAATATGCACTGATTTTTTTTTTTATAAACTATACTTCCAATAAACCATAAAATACCAAGTGAAATGTACTTAAATATTCGTTTTTTTATAATCCATTATTATATACAAAAAAAAAAAAACAGTAGAAGACTGTTAATCCACACTATCAATAATTTTCCATTACTGATAAGATCCGCACTAGTTCGAACTATTGCCCAAGCCATCGAGGAAGCACTTTTTTATTTCATTTAATAGTTTCCCTTTGTCTTTAATTATCGTTTGAACTGTAATTTTTTTTTCAATTACAGTTTTTGATAAACCACTATTATTTGCAATCAACAGTTCAGTTTTTGATAAACATTATTATTATTGATAACATTATACATTATTTACAAAGTAAGAAAAGAAAGTTTTTCTTTGAAAACTGAATTTCATATATATCAAAATTCATACCTATCCAACACATTCCTTTCATTCATCTATTTTTTTTTTCTATCCCCACATATATTATTACAGTAAAGTTTGAAATCGGTTTTGTACCAAATATAAGCTCATGTCATGCTCAAATACCATGAATGGGGCACCGTTTCATTCAGAATTTCATGGGGGTTAGTGAATCGTATTTTCCATTTTTGTTTTTCTTTCTAAAATAAATAAAGTCGATACAAACATTTTGCTAGGCTTCAATACCTGAACAGTGGTAGGTCTGTAGATCGATACGGGACAAATTGGATCTAGAAGATTTTGATGCGTACAGCAAGACCCGGATATCGGATCCTGTGTTTTCAAGCCTAAAAACATACTGTTTTTGAGATAACGCAAGGCACAGTGTTCGCATCCACACAACCTTATGCTAATCGTATTACTGTCATTGAATACATGTCTCATTTTGTCAACTTGAGCCCTCTATGATCGAGAGAGGAGGAGTTTATGTTATTTATCGATGGTGTATTTGATCGGCAAGCCATATCATCGTTAATTCTTCACCAAATCTCAAGATTGAGCCACCAATTTCGAAGACTTCCTTCTCCTTCAGGCGGGCAAAATAGTCCAATCACCCCAAAAATTCAGGCAAACAAGTTACAAAAATAAAAACTTTATTTGCTAATAACTAAAAAATTACACACTTTTCGCTTATGGTTATGCACATCATTGCATAAAAGATTATTAAATTTGTAAACATGTTGGTTCCAAACAAAAATGAAGATTTACATTAATTTTTGTTTCCTTAGTCGATTATATTTATCGAAAAGTAACAATTGATTTCTTTATCTTTTGATACGTTGCATTGTTTTATTTCCTTATTAATTTGGCATTTCATAACAATATGATGTGCGAATTTTTCACACAGTTTTTAACTTAACTTTTCATTTAAATTGACTTATTAACAGTTCTGTTCAATAAAAAAATATTTTTTTCTTTCATATGATGTACTTGAAAGCATTCAGTGCTCGAACTACGCCCTGCAGATGCCCAACATGTTTGGGTTGAAATGTTGGCACAAATAAAAAATTTTTTTTAAAAAAAACTGTCCTGAATATTTATCACCCATGATGTAACTTTGGATTCCTTAAGCATAAATTGTTAAAAAAACATAACTTTCAAACAACTTAAAACAGGGAGTCTGTATCAAAAAACAATAATTGCTCCATACATCTGTTAAAACATTAAATTGGTAATGAGAGGATGTCCCTCAATAAAATTCCAGCTTTCCATTAAATATTTAAGGGTCAATCCATTTGAAATCACCCTACTTCAATTAATTTTGTTGCTTGACATTTTTTACTTTTATATATTTTTTTTTAAGGTATTCCATATTTAGTTGAGAGTTCAAAATCATAGCTATATAAATTTTACGGCTCATTTTTTTCTCAGTGGCCATTTTGAATTTTATTTTAGACTAAAAACATGTTTTAGGAAAATGCCTGTAACTGGTAATTTTACAGACATCAAACCAAAATAAAAACTTAAACAATTTATAGTATTTCAGTAACAGGCATTTACTAAATAATGTTTTCAGTTTAAAATCAAATTTAAAATGCCAGCCGAGAAAAAACTGTGAACCTTAACATTTTTTTAACTTTAGTTTTGAACTCTGAAATAAATATGAAATAACTGGTAAAAAAAAACTATAAAAATCAAAAATGTTGAGCAACATGGTCTGGGTGATCCTAAATGGATTGATCCTTCATTATACATTATTTAGAATAATATTAAGTTCTTGTAATCCATATTTTGTATATAAACAATAAAGGCATTTTTACTTGTTGATTTTATTTGAGAGGTAACTTCATTCCAAATTTTGTCCAAAACAAATCTGTTGTCGGTCCTTTTAATCCCACAATGGTCTTACAAACACTACAGTAATAAACAGTTCAACGTCCATGTTAGACAAAACCGCTTTTTTTTTTTTTTTTTTCTCTTTCTTCCCTATCTTACCTTTTTAGGCTATACGGGGGGTTTCCCAGACCAGAGGGTGAGGGTGGGGAATTTAAAAGACCCCCAGGCACCGGCTTGTAATTTTACTGTCTCCCAGATTGGTTATCAGATTGCCAGAAAACACGCAGTGTTATGCACACACGTTAGCCCATTCGGCTCCCTCCGTCCCTAGACAAAACTACCTGTAAGAATAGTGACGAAAACAAGTATGTTTGATCCCTTCGCTCTTATCTCATGAAGCAGCGCTCATTGTAGCATTGTTCATCCCCTTACTATATGACGTTCTATTGAATATGCGGTTACCCTTAGTCTAAAGTCTCAAAATTTTCGTCAAAATTAAGAGGAAAAAATTATTTTGAACTAAATTTGAAAAAAAGTAAAGAACAACAATCAAATTAAAAATTACAACTATGATGATATAATATTAAACAAATAAACGTTAATAGAACTTTATTTGAATTACAAACAAATATAAAGAAATGCATCAAAAGCGATCATTATACTCTAAAATAAATTAAAACATTAAATTGTAAATGGACTTACTTGCTCTAAAAGATTTACATTTACGTTTTGGTTTCGAAAAACCAATAGAAGAGTCGAGATCAGAACAACTAATCACTATTTTCAAATACCATAAGCCAGCCAAATAATGATTGACAGGAAATTCTTTGGAAACGTCATTCTGACTAAACCTGTAATTATAAAAATTTTATTTGTATTAATAAAAAAAGCTTGATTATTAAAAAGAATTTAGCTCTTGGACAGCAATAGAAATGTGGTCATATCTGTTTGCCGCTAGAACTAGCATACCTCTTTTAAATCAGTCTTTGTCTTATAAAATTATAAAAATCAAGGTGTTGCAGCTCATATATCAGAAATTTTAAATCTTGCTAAAATAAACGCGGGAAAACAATCTGATAAGCGAGATACAACTAAAATGTTGATTTCTCCTTCTTAACAAATAGTCAAGTTACAGTTAATTCATAGTTAGTTTCAATAATTTATGTTTTGAAACATTTATACTCAATTATGAATTACTTCATGTTCTATTTCTTCAATAACAATATTTGTATAAATCAAACAAAATAAATTTCAATTTTCTATAAGTCATATTACGATGGTTGGTGTATAATGATAACCAGACTATTATCATTAATAGTGAGATCATACTCACTTCAAAGTTAATTAAGAGCAACATTTTCAGTGTAGATTTTGTGATACCAGAAACATGGTTAAGCTTAGTAAGAAACAGCAACCAATGCCATATCCATGGTGAGCTGTTGCAAATGACAATGCAAAAATTATGAGCAATCTTAGTTGCATAGTTAATTAAAGTAATAAAAAAGACATAGAAAAGTTCATGTTTAAAGCACAAGTCAAAGCATCAATATTCAAATAGTAATCTACTTGTTTAAAAGTATACAAACATGCTTAAAAGATAGGTAGCCAGTTGACTGTAGAAATAATAAAAATGAAAAAATATTTGTTTTTTTTGTTATACACTTTTTTTTAGGACAGATTCAAAATTTTTTTACCATTTTACAAGTCTTTTATTGAAAAGCAATTAATTGTAATAAATATTTGAATGTATAATATGTATTAACATTAAATTTTTAACAAATATTCATGATTATGTGCTGCCCTTACTTGGCCCTGACTAAAATATCATTTGTAGAAATGAAATGATTTACTTAGTCCTAAACACTGCATGCATTCACTCTATTTCAAACAGCTTCAGATACTACTGAACAAATGTAACTCCACTTTCATGGTTGGCACAAGATCTCATGATCATACTATGAATGGAATCGGGAGAATGGTCGAGTGTCTACGAAAGTGACCGAACTGTGTGATAAGATCTGACTACAATTGAAAAGGGCCCTTTAAGGGTTTGCTCAGGCCTTTAAACAAACAGGAATTGAAATCAATGATGTAACCAAAGCTAATTAATGCTTCTTTAACAATTTTAACTGGAAAATTTTGTGGTGATTTTTTCAGTCATAATCACGATCTAAATAAAAGGAGATTAAACAGAGAACATATTGTCAATCCTCGGCTATTCTCTGAATCCTATTTATAGCATCATCACCAGATTTTGGCTCACTCAGCAAAGTGGAGCGAAATTCGTACTCTTACTCAGTTTTATTTTAAACACCGTACATTACAATCCTCGTAAATAAAAACAAAACATTTGTATTTAATAACAAGTTGTGAGACTCATGATTCTAACAGTGAATTAAAATGGTTCATGGCTATTTTATACTCTACGAACGATTTAGTAAGGTCTTATTGAACACCTGATGTACTATTGTAAGTAATTCAACATTCAGTTGAATATTGTAGCAAAGGTTCAGAAAATAAACATCACTAATTCAAAGAATATTAGTTTAGGCTATGTCAATGAACAAATATTTAAAAAATTACATAAATATTAATTTTTTTACATCAATTTACAAAATTGTGGATTGATGGTTGACTGTAGTGAATAATTGAAGAGAAGGATGGTTGGGATGATCAATCAAAATAAAAAATAAATAATTATATTTATTTTTAAATAAATAAAATAGATATAATTATATTCTTTATTTTGACTGATCATCCCAATGATCCTTCTCTTCAATTTACAAAATTATGGATACATTTTAAATATGAAATGACATCCAAGTTAGTTTGTCAAAAGATTTTACAATAAAAGACTTAAAGCAGAAAATAATAAACATTCATTTTTCTGTGATTTAAACATAAATTTGCAAATAATGGTTGACTTTTATGAATTTTATTTTTATTTCTTCCCTAACTTGCATTTTGACATTAGCATTTGGTGTTAGCAACATAAACAAACCAGGCAATATTTATAGGTCATCCATAAACATAAGTACTCATAGTCATGGTGTAGTTGACTTTTATTAAAAATTCAGTGTATGTTTTATAGAAGATATGGTACTGAAAAATTATCAGTAATACACATCATTTCTCCGTACAGAGTTCCTCTCAATATATTTCATTTATTTTATCCTTAACAATTATAATCCTCCATCAAGCTGTAAGAAAAATTGTTCCGAGTGGTAACCTTGCAAGCCATACTATGCAGATTGCAGGTCATGCGGATGATAGAATAGAATAGAAAATTAAACTGTATTCTGGGACTAAGTCCCTTTAGAATAACAATGATGAGTTAATACAAAGTAAAGTACAAATCGGGCCAAAAACTAACTTCTAAAACTTTTAATATTATATACATTATTTAAAAAGTATTTAACCAGTAAAACATAAAAAATAAAATATATATACAAATGAACATAAAATCTTCTCAAAATTACTTAATTGTGATGAAAAAAAAAAAAGAACAGAAATTACATATTTATATATACATAACTACACAATTTATAAACAATAGGCTATCTAATAGAAATGAAATTGTGAGAACAAGGGAAGTGATTAGATTAAAAGCAGAATTATGGCTGGAAGCAGAGCTAGCTATAGCCTTTAGAAACTAATGAAATCAAGCCTTCTGACCAAAAAAAAAAAAAAATTGAAAATATTAAGTCTCTTATAAGACTTGGTGGTATGCTATGGATCAGATGCCTGAATGCTGAAAGTCTCAGACTAGTAAGCCTTAAGGGTCTTCGAAAGAACAATATTAAGATATATTTTAAGTCTAGTCTGCTAGAGTAAAGAGCTTGATGACTTCATAGAGCATGAGGATAAAGTTAAATTTGTTAAATCAAGAAGGTCGAGTTGACTTGGACACATTGAAAGATTACCAGGCCAGATGACGAGAAAGATATTGAAGGAGGATTTTCAAAGTAAAGGAAGAAGGGGTAGCCTCAGAACAAGCTGGCTGAAGGATATGAAGCAAGAGGGCGTTGGATCAAGATGACTGGAGGCAGATTGTGAGAGAGACCAACATTGGCAGGTAAAAAAACACTTATTATCAAATGGACCAAAAAGTTTGCAAAAATAAACAGTTAAATAAATTTAAACAAAATTATGATATATGTACTGTTCGCCCATATTAGTTCTTGGAGTACATAAATCAATAAAAACACTAATAAATTAACAGGCGTAATAATCTAGAAATGTATCGCCCTAAAACCCCTATCCTACTAATAAACTACTATTTCAATTAACCTTATATTATAACACTCATGAACAAGGTTGTCAACACTTGGACATTTTCAGAATTGTGTTTAGTGTTCAATGTGATCTTGGCCAAGGAATCATGTTAAGTGGCATTTGTTACATATTTCTATAAAAATTAAATGGAAATTAAACTTTCAAGTACTCATAATGTAGTATTAATAACACCATTAAATAAAACCAAACATCATATGATAAAAAAAAAATAAGTCTAAAATGAAATAAACTGGATATACCAATACTATACGCTATCTTCTTCTCCACAACTAAATTATTGTCTAGTTTAATACGTTAACATATAAAAGAGTGAGAGGGGAAGAAACTGTCAGCCTTTACTTAATACAGTTACTAAGAAAATTACTGGATTTATATTATTTTAGGAAAGGTAAAAACAATAGACGTATGGGAGATTGTCCATTAAAACACAGCTGTCTTATCTCCTAATATTTATAAATATGATACTTACTCAGCTGAGACAGTTGAAATGCTATCACAAAGTTTGCATTGGAGCTCATTTTTGCTTTTAAGTTCAATGTTAACACAGTTTTCACAGGCTGAATGTCCACAGTGAAGAAGGAGGGGTAGTTTAATGTTTTTATACTGAGCATACCCTGTATTAAAATACCATTAGTACATAAACATAATATAAAAGGATCAAATTAATGTTTTTAATATGATCTAGTTTTCATAAATGCATTGTATTTATAATTAATATCAATTATAAATACAGTAATATTTTATTATAAAATTAATATCACTGTCAAATTAATGTTTGAACTAAAAACTAAAAAAAATACATAATTTTAAAAATACTATATTGCAGAAAATTAGAAAAATAAATAGAAAGTGATTGAAAATTATCACTATCATTTCATTTACTCCAAGAAAACAGTAAATCTTACAAAATTATAATATGACATTCTAACACTTTGAAAGAAATATACATATCAAGAGATAAGACAGTTTTTTAAACAACTTCAAAACGATATGATATATACAAAATAGTGATAAGAAACATTTCTATCATATAAAACAAAACACAAAATTTAAAAAACAAATGCATTTACTACTTTATTTACCATTGGCAGAGAACGGCAATGAGCATATCGCACAATTAGGTAAATTTACTGTCTTTAACTTATCCATATTTGATCACCAATTTGATGAATATAACTCCCTTGACCGGTAAAACAGTTCAGACAACTAAATTCCCATTCAAACAACAACATTCAAACAAGCCCCCAAACCCTTGGCAGAATCAATCGATTTGAATCGACTATGCAAAATATTTCGTATCGTTCCTGAATGTACTTTTTATTCCTTTTGAGAAATAAATATTGATACAGATATAAATATATAAGAAATATGTGTTGTAAATATGATAAATTACACAAATTTAATCGGATAATAATAATAATAATCAGATTATAATTAATGGAATAATTATTTTTAAAAAGTTGTTTATATCGGAAAGAGCTTCCCAACAAATAAATCAACAAAACTTGTGACGTCAAAACAAACTCAACACAGTTATGCACATATTAATATATAATTACGATCTCTAAATTTAAAAATGGTAAAGATAAAGTTTTCAATATAAAGTTTAAAAGCTACTTCCTAAGCTCAGGGTTGGCTCTCCAATGGCACTATTTCGCCCAGTTTAGAGATGGATCCTGTACCATCCATGAATTGAGCTCTAAGTTTTAGAACTTGCTCAAATATGTAAATAATAGAGATATAAACATATTATCAATAATATTTGGTCAGTATATAAAATGTTTTTCATAAGTGATTTATACTTTAAACACGATTCTTCATCCACTGGAAGATTGTGACTTTAAAGCCGTGTTTAGACATTTCACAAACTATGGAACAAACAAATATATAAATGGTTATTTCACAGTAATAATATTTTTATTTTTTGTTTTTGATATTTTTCATCTGCTGCCGGTATTAAAAGAAATAAAATAAATGGCTCGGTTTAGCAATAATATCACCGTTAATTAAGTTAGGTAACTCTATTTCCCATAATTTGAAAAATGTCTAAACGCACCATTAAGCTTAACATCAGAGTACAAACAACTAATTTAGTATCATTTTATACCAGAATGCCAGCCAAACGAATATTTCGTGCAAATAATTTATTCTTCAGTGTTACCAACTCGCAAAATTAATAATAATGTGAATTTAGACATTTCACAAACAATGAGAAACAAAATTATCTTTTTTAACTAACAGCGATATTCTTACTAACCCAAACTATTTATTTTATTTCTCTTGATACTAATAGCAGATGGATAATATCAAAAACGAGAACCAAAAATACTAGCATAGTGAAATAACCATTTATATATTAATTTATTCCAATAGTGGATCCAGGATTTGATTTTGGGGAAGCATCGGTTCGAAAGCTACTTTTTTAATATAATTATAATGATCATCACTTTGGAAAAAAAAGAAAGATCTTATATGAAATGGCGGTTAAGTGATTCTTGAAGTCCTATTAAATATAATTACAGGCACAGGCGAATCTACGGAGGGAAGGAGAGGGCTTTCGGACTGAACCTGCCTTCTCCAAAATGGGAAAATATTACCATGTTTTATGAAAAAATTTATCTCTAAAAGTATTAATGTTCATCTAATTACATTTAATAGGACTTAAAGAATCACTTAACCACCATTTCATATAGGTACTTAGTTTCTTTCATTCTTCCGAAGTAGGTAGGTTCCGAAGTAGGTTTCATTCTTCATATAGGTACTTAGTTTCCTTCATTCTTCATTCTTATAATTATCTTATTATATACATAAAAAAAATATATGTTTCGGGTTATTTTCCCTATAGAAAAGAAATTTACATTCGTTTTTAGTGATCTTTAAAACTCCTAAATACGAATTTTTATAGATATCAAAAACTGGAACGTTTAGTAATTGGTTTTCCAGGTGCTTGTTTTTCCTACCATCAACCAAACCATGCATAACTTCAAAAGGTTATATCCAAATTCGATGTTAGTATTGTTAATGTTAGCTGAATTGGCGCTCTTCCAAACATCAATAGGTTTTTGAATTCATTCTTTTTGAAGCTAGAAATTTAAAAAAACATCTCAAGCATTTTTATTTGATATCTTTGATTCTAATGTGTTTATAGAGCACGAGTTAATAGCAATTTGTGTATCATACAGATCCTCAAGTTTCTAATAATTTTCGTGTGATTCGGTGGAGTCGTTCTGAAGTTATCCTAATTTTTATATTTTTGCTAGTGAAAAAATTTCGAAGGGTCCAGCCTAGACAAAAATTTCGTACAAAAAATGTTAATGCTTCCTAGCCTTTTAGGTCATAAGGGGTTTTTCCTAGCCAGAACGTGAGGGCGGGGATTAATGCCACAGTTTAAATCCCCTTCGGCACCAGGGCGTGAACTTGGAATTATGTTATTTTATAACTTTTATTATCTGGTTGCCGGGCAACACGCGGTGCTGTGCACACGCGTTAGCCCGCTTGACCAGTTGCATGAAGATCGATGGAAGCTGGGAAATAAGAGAACACATGAATTCAGAGATCTTCTGAGAATATTTTATTAATTTTTTTGGAGTACTATGATGAGTATGGCAGAGCGAGAATCATTTCAAAATGAGAACTATCACAAATTCTTATTTGGTTCTTAGATGTTCTATGGCCTTAAGCAAAGGTTGGGTTACGGAAAACGGCTAATGTATATAAGAGATCCACTGTCACTGGTATCAACCTCATGCTTTCTGGCCTCTCGCCGGCATTGCATTGCATGTAGTTGTTACTCCTCCAGTGAATAACCTTCTTCTTTATTTTTATATGAGTAAGTCAGCAGGAAGTAATGCTTATCCTCATATCAAGTTACTGCTTTTCTATTGATATGTGGATGTTTTTTTTTCCTTTCTCGATTCCCTCATTAAGCTAGAGACATGGCAATGTGTCATGGTTCCTTCTTCTTTATAATTTATCTTGGATTTTTATTTTTATTTATTCATTTATAATTCCCTTTCTTGCCTTAGGGCAACATGGGTTCAGTAGGAGTAGATTATGGATACTACATCTGTCATAATGTCATTTCTAGTACTAGCCAGACCGGGCCAACATGAGGGATACCACTCGACCTCCTCCTGCAAGAAAATAAGATTCAATATATTCTTAAGAATGATGGTTCAGCTAGTCTTTCGGAAAATCATCAAGGAAGATTTGCGGCAGATCCATCTAAATGGCAAAAATAATACGGGAAAACACCACTGATCAATGGAATCGTCGGTGGTTTACTAATCATAACGGATCTACCTTGAGAAAATATTTTCCTGTTGTCTATTCAAGGTTGGAAGCGAAATGGGACCTCCCTGATTATTGGGCGTCACAATATCTCGTAGGGCATGAAAGGGTCCACGTTAAGCTGCATACCTTTGGGAAGAAAAAAAAAAACCAATCTTGCTGCTGTGGTTTTCCAGAAACTGCTGAGCACATTGTCACGAATTGAACCACTTTTAAGGCAATTTGGGCCAAACTACTGAGAAAAACAGAACTTACATCATCACGGCGGACGATTTCCCTAAGTTAGTAAGTAAGAAATACTCGTACTACGAAGTATTCGTAGTGGAAGGGTGGAGTGGTAGAATCGGTGGAAGGGATTAGTGAGGAATGATCATTTCAACCTGCACTAATGAAGAAGACCGAAAAACCAGAGATTAAGTGGTAGAAGTTTCGCGTTTCTATTAAAAAACTGTATTGCCGAGCAGTGTTGGTCTTAGGGTACACCAATCGGAGCAATTGAGTTAGCAAATAACTTGAGTTCCAACATGATGGCCGCCTATTTATTTTCAAAATATATATACACATATATATTTATTTTTTTCTGATAGCTTTACCCTCTCTGTACGTCTCCAGCCGCCTAAACCAGCATTGTTCTTGTCTACCTATCTTGGGCTATTGCTTACAAGTTTTCTGCCTGTAGCTATGCAACATCTTTGTTGATTCGGTGTATTTACCTGGTTTCTGGCCTTACCACGTGGTCTCTTGCCAACTACTAAGGCATTCAATTGTGTATAATGGCTTCCTGGTATATTGCTCGAAATACATATCTCGCTTAACCTCCTGGCCTTCTTATCATTGGATAATCATGAAAAAGATAATCATTGACCATTTTCTGTAAGCAGTTCTTTAACAGTCCTTCTACTTCAAGCCTTGGTACACTGATCTTATTTCGCTCCGATTATAGTGCGGAGAGTTTTCCTCTCAAGTCAATACTTTTTTTTTTGGTGTTGTTTAGTGTCCAGGTCTCCCAGTAGTATATCACAACAGGCTATATAATCACAATACCTTTAAAAGAGAGAAGGAAGCTTTTTTTTTTTTTTTTTTTTTACTATATTGCTATGAAATTCTTAATTGCATCGCAGAGATCATTATTATAAATAACGTTTTTAATTATTTTTCATGATTCTATTTAGAAATAAACATGTGTTGGAAAGATCAATAAGCGTGTCCATCAATAGCTAAACAATTTATCTTTAATTAATAACTTTATTTAACAGATTGAGATAGAAATGAATTCTAATTTAACTCCGTTATATGTCACTGATTCAATTCCTGCGCTTGAAAAAATGGCTATTGAACCAGTAGACGATGTCGGATTTTCGATGTAAGTTAATTATTGCTGAAAGCATAGAAATCATTGTAGATAAACTTTTTAATTATAAAGTGCCAAATTTAAAGAGGGTGTGATGTATTTAATCAAACAGGAGTGTAGTCAACCTTATTCTTTAAGGCTTTAGTAAACTCTAGTTGATTTACTCTTTAATAACTGTCTACAACTATTGGGCTAGAGCGTCTTTGGCGCTAGAGGGCACTAAGAAATCTGTCAACTATTTTCACGTTATAGTATTTGTCTACTTTTTTCTCTTGAAAAATGTTTAGGTTACTAGAATAGTGGTAATTTGAAAATAACTAATCATAATTATTTCGGTTTTTCCACCTTCGGTTTGAAATGACAGTGTAAACTTATCTAAATCAGGGCTTACTTAGAAGAGGGTAGCATGGCGCAAGTTCCAAGGCCTTGGAGGGCAGCCCTAAATGACCGGGCGTTTAAATAAAATGTGTTTATACACAAATATAATATAAGTGTTTATAATTAAAGATAATTTTACTGTACAATATACATTTCAAATATTAATAAAATAGTATTTAATTTAAGACAAGATCGATTAGTTTTTTTTCTAATGATTGTAATATTATATACCAGTTATTGAGTTATGGATAGAATAAAGAATGAAAAGGATCTATCTTATTTCGATCTACAAAGAGGATCCGAGGACAGGTCGTAATAATTATCGAAGAATCTCATTTCTTCTATTCCAATAATTTAAAAAATATTTACATTAATGATAACTAGCCGAATAGTGGAAAACGCCGAGGAAACTATTAGAGACTACCAAACTGATTTTAAGCGGAACCGTTTAACTATCGATCTTTTGTCACAAGAAATATTAGAGAAAAGAATAGATCACGATATAGTTTGTATCGATTTAAAAATGGCTTATGTCTTCATTGTCCGTTAGAAGCTGTATAATATTGTAGCTGAGCAGGGGATTTCAAAAAAGTAAATCTAGCAAAGATTGGCATGATGGAAAACTATCATTACAGAAGCAAGAATCTGTAATTATTTTTCTAAGAAGTTGGAAGTGCATTCGGATTTAAAATTTGTGTGATTTTCTATCTCCTAAATTATTTAAATTAGCACTTTGAAAATGATATCAGGGAGTTTATACTTCTCGAAAAAGGTTTATATATGGTTGAATATGGATGAAAAAAATATCCGTGTTTAGGTATGCTGATGGTTCGGTACTATAAGTAAAGAAGCGGAATCTATAAAACTAGATACAACGTTGATAAAAGCCAATGAAGAACTGAGGCTAACAATAAACAAAATATTAAGGGGGTTGGGATTTTCGAGCGGGCTAAGGCTCTTGCAATAAATAATCAAAGTTAAGCAATGTCGAGTGTACTAAGGACTTGTATGGATGACTGCCCAAACTGCATGACCGTCCAACCGAGATTGCCACCTCCGGGCGTGAGAGCCGCCACCCTATGAAGGCAACTCACTCCGACCAGGGTTAGAAGACCTTAGCTCGGGTACTTAAATCAGAAATCACAATGTGTATTTCCAGAATGTCAGTAGCCACGGTGAGGTTTGGTTTATTGGCGATCCGTATCGGATCTTGACTGATTTATCACTGTCCTTGAATCTGATAGAGTCGGAGGATAGGACATAGCCAAATTGGCCCCAGAGGGATTGGCTAAATAGCTGTCGCTAGACCATGGATACCATACCAACGTGTGGTTGGGTGATCTCTTCCAGGCTATTTGTTCTCCCACAAGCAAAATATGTCTGTCAGAAGACCAAAATCTTCCTCCCAAAGAACATTAGATTCCGCTCGTCAGTCTTGGAGATAGTCCATATTTCTGAGCCATAAAGGAGTATCAGTCGGGTAATTGTTTTATACAATACGATTTTTGTTCCTCTGGTTAAAGCACGGCTCCTAAAATATGGAGTGAGGCCATAATAACAAGGATTGGCACATAGGAGTCTTCCCTTAATTTCAGAATCCACAATATTATCATGAGTGACAACATTATAACTTCAACAAAGGTTACTAGGTAAATATAAATGCAACTACAGTACAGTACTTGGCTCAGCAAAGCACTCCGTCATCAGTTTATACGTCTCTATTAGTTCTAAGGCAAAACTCTGAACAAAAACAGTTCAGTATGTACGACTTCCTATACTCAAGGCCCAAGCCCGGCAATTATTTATTCTGGGGATATCAGCCCTGTATTGGCCCTAGTGTTCAAAGACTCTCCTGGGGGATGCCCAGCCTCTATAATGTGGATTATCTTAATTAAATAACTAATTATAGAGGGAAAACCTGACCTTGAGCATGATTTTAAACCAATCCCCTCCCACTAGCCATTGGGATTAAAATAGTACTTTCTTACAAGTACCGAATCCAAGACCCTTCATGGGTATACATATGAGTACTAGTATAGGTTTTATACTTACTAGACTTTCTGTTTTTTCTTCCTAGCATCTAGAACTTCCAATCAGCAAGTCGCTTTTCTGTCTTCTCAGATCCAATTTAAAAACTCCAAAATTAAGGAAATTTATATGCCTGTATAGTATAATATGTAGCACATTCCATTATTACATTGAATGAATTTCATTTTTTTTTTGTACTTGGATAATTAAATTTAAAAAAAAAACTATTCTCTTTAATTTTTTATTGTAAAGGTGCATAAGTAAGATCTATGAGTTGTATGATCAAGTCATCCAAGCTTATAAATCAATGGATGAAGAAATAGAATATTTATACATCAGAAGGTGCCTCATTCTGTTAAATCATGCAAAAAAATTCAAAGAGTTCAAAAAACTTCCAAGAAATAAGGTGAATACAGTACATAAATATGAATCACTACTGATACCCAGATTGGAAGAACTAAAAACATCTCTACAACATAGGTATGCATTAATGAGTTATAAATTATTTTAAAATGATAATATGAAGTAATGGGATAGGTATTGTTAAAGTAATGGAATCTAAATTGAAGGTACAGAATTCAGGCTGGTGAAAAAGACAAAGAGAATTTATCTATGGATAAATCGAGTAAGTTAGAAAAATGTATTTGTATTAAAAATAGAAAAATTATCTACGAATAATGTAAACAGAAATTTTAAATAATACATTTAATGAAATGAAGTTCACATATACTTAACATATTCATTTAACATAGCCTCATTTCAAATATTTCTAAAACTGAATTAAAAACAATAACAGAAAGTTAAGTACAACTTTTTTCTAGCCAGTATCCTTTATCTTAAAATTTGCCATGTTTAGATGAAACACAAATATGATGATAAATGGTTAAAAATAACACCAATTGTACAGAATATTGTAAGAACTGAATTGTAATAACACAATACAAACAATAAAAGTAGCGATTAATATTATTATTTTAATAATTTTTTTTTCCTTTAATATAAATATATTTTTATTTCACTTTACAGTCTGTTCGCTGGTCAATATTAATGATCTTCACCATCATGATCCAGAACTCAGCATTTTTGTGAAGGTACACAATTACAATAATCTGAAAATTTATTCTAAGCACTTTCTGTTCAAAATAATTTGTTTCAGGAAGCCAAAAAAAAAGAAGAGGACAAGTCACAACATTTAACAAACGTTGGCGTAAGTTGGTGATATGGTATTCAGATGAAAAACATTAATCATAAACAAGCAGAGATAAATTTGAAGTAATATGTGTGAGTAATATTAATTGAAAGGATGAGACTATGGTGGGTGAAAATGTCAAGATGTCCGCTTTAGCATTCTTGAGTAAGAAACAGCGTCACACAGAGGCTTTAAGTCCCAATTAGATGGACAAATCTCATAACAAAAAAATTAAAGTTTCCACATTGAATTATAATTTTAGGAATATCTGACATCAAAAAGATTTGTCTTCTCAGCTCAAGCTCTTAAATAATCCCAGAGCCTTGACCAGAAAACACTTTTAAATTAAATTACAAACTCTGTCCTAATTTTGAATAAGCTAATATCAGGCTCTGTTTTTAAACTAATAACTCTCGTTAATCATTGACATCATTTCTATGGGTATTATAAACCTTCAGCAGATGAAGCCATTATGATAAGATCATTGGGACAAAAGTAATACTTTTTTTTTACTCCATAAAAGAATATGTTTCCTAAGAAAATAAGTCAAAATATACTTATATCCAAAAACATTCAATATAATCCTTGTTTCTTTTTTTATCCAATGATATATGATTCCATGTCATTAAAGAGATTAATGCCATTTTTTACGTTTGGGTAGCTTTTGTTTTGAATATTTATTTTTTAAAAAGTTTAAACTAATTCAGAAGAATTTTATTGGCATATGGCTGAAACAAACTAAAATAAAAATTATGACTCATCTATAGATTTCTTATCACAAAGATTTGATGAAAATGACCACTTAAAACACACAGTTAAGAAGTTAAATGTACAGTTATTAGATTTTCTTTCAATATTGGTGAGGTGGAAGCATACTCACAGAAAAAAAAAATTAGAAGTTTTCTTTCTGGTCAGATAAAGAGGATTTTTTTATTTTTTTTTATTTGGGTTTTATACAACTTAAGGAGTCATATCCCCAACACCCAAAAGCCACTGCTCCCTGTCCATCCAATCTCCTTCACGAAGCCCTCTGGCTGCCATGCTTTCCTCCACGTCCTCTATCCATTTCTTCTTTGGCCTTCCACATTTCCTTCTTTCAGGTGGCATATAGTTATAAATTTTCTTTGGCCAGCCGTTCTCATCCATCCGCATTAAGTGGTCATACTACTTTAACCGTTTGGTCCCGATCAGGTGAAGGATGTTCTTTGGACATCCGACCTTGTCTCTAATAGCTGCGTTTGGGATCCGCTCGATTCTAGATATGCCACAGCTTCTTCTCCAGAAATCCATTTCCATGGAAAGCAACTTATTTTCCATCTTTTTTGTCAGTGTCCAAACTTCTGATCCGTAAGTGGCAACACTTTCTACAAAGGAATGGTATATCTTCTTTTTAGTTTCTAATCTTATTTCTTTACTCCATAGGGTTGAATTTATCGAACTTATTATTCTTTTCCCATTATTTATTTTATGTTCGATATCAACCTCACTACCTCCCTTTGAAGATAACCAGTATCCGAGGTACTTGAAATGCTGGCTAATATTTAGCGTCCAGTCATCAATTTCAAGGGGCAAATTTGGAACGTTGAAAACCATGCACTCTGTTTTACTTTCACTGATCTTCAGACCCAATCTGGAACAAGTGTCTAGCAACTTCCTCATCATATACATCATATAGCTACCATCATCCGGATCCGATGCGATTATGACTTGATCATCGGCATACTGCAAATTGTAGATGACATCATTCCCGATTTAAACACCCATTCCACAGCACGATCTTTTCCAGTTTTTAAGGGCTTGTTCTATATAAATGTTGAAAATCAGAGGTGAAAGGCAACAACCCTGTTTCAATCCTTTGTTAATGGGGAAGCTTCTAGACACTCTATCTCCTATTTTTATAGTCCCCGTTATATTTTTATAGAGCTCTTGAATTGCTCTGATGAGGTATCTCTTAATAGATTTGGCTTCCAAAGCTTTCCACAATTTCGCTAGAGGTACTGAATCATAGGCCTTGTGTAAATCTACAAATATCATGTGGAGTTCACGGTCGTGGGCCATCCTCTTTTCTATAAGTTGTGAGAGACTAAAAATGTGATCAGTGCATGATCTTCCAGCCCGAAAACCCGCCTGTTCCTCGCTGATCTCTTCCTTTAAATCATTTTCAATTATGCTTTTATAAAGAGGATTTTTCCTTTAATATTTCCTATGAAGTAGAATCACCTTAACAGACTAGTTTACTTAAGGAGCATCTTGAAATTGATTTTGAGTGGTAAATTGAAGTAGAGGAAAATGGATAACTTGTTGGCACTATGCACAATTGACCTATGCAACTGAAATTTCCTTCAAGATGCCACAAAAGTGAAGAATGTTGTGGCTCCATCTCTCCATAACGTAGATGTAAAATAACAAATGTATAAATATATAAATAAAGATATAAAAAAATATAGAGACACATACACATATATGTGTGTATATACACATATATTTTGTAACAAACCCAAGGAATGCATTAACTAGATCAGTTATTTCAAAATATTTTAATTAGTACTATAATATTATTCTTTATTTTGTTATGCTTTCTCATCTCATTTGAAAAAAAGAAATTAGATATTAAGAAAAAAAGCTATTGGTTTTCAATTGAATCATCTATGATTATCAATTGTATGCTCTCTAGCAATCTCATTCAAATTTAAAATATACTTTTTGTTCTACAGGCACGAAATACTCCATATGGTGATTCTCTTTTCTCTGGTGTGCCAAAAACTAATATGAATACACATAAGCCACTATATTTAGCAAAATCTATTGGAAGCCTAGAATATTTATCAAGGGAAATAAGAGTCCCTAATTTAAATTTTGAAGAGTAATGTATTTTATTTTACCTACATTAACCAGCACATTACATAGTTAGATAATATTCTTATGTGCTCTTACATGATAAACCTTTTTAAATTGTTTTAAATAATGATTAAAATACAAGTTCTTTTTTAATAAACTAACACCAACTCTTGCGGCTTTGACCACTCTATAAATAGAGGACTGCAAAAATGTCAACTAATAATTTTTGGTAATCAATGCCTAGTATTTCAGAAATGTATGATAAGAGAAAAATTGATTTATAGGACTTCTGAATAAATCATGTTAAGAGTTGAGTTCCCAAAATTATTAGTTTTTTTTTTTTAATTTGTAATAGCAGAAAAATGTTAACAATGAGTTACCCTTTTATTATATCACATTTTCCATTTGATAGAATTTTTTTTTATCGATTTCATATTAATATTATAAAAATCAATTACAGCTTATATTAATTACTATTAATTAAAGAGAAGAATAGAATGGTTGAGGTGATCAGTCAAAAAAAAAAAAAAAATTATTATATTTATTTTTGCCGACCCAAAGTTCCGGCTTTCAACAGGGCTGGTCAAATGAAGAGGCGTCACTAGACCAATAGTCTACGAACGGGCTGATGTTTTATATAATTGTATAGATAAAATATTCAGAGTCGATTAACAAGACCTACAAAGCCAATGCTATAAATTTTTCATCCATTAAGGTCTATCATCTCATGTTTTTCTAAATTTGTTAAACTAACACAGATTTCATTCAATAAAATGAAAATAACAATGAAGATTAAATTGTCATAATAAAAATAAAAACACGAGTGACTGAAAAAGTAAGATTCCCTTACAAGAAAGATAGAAGGTAATTTACTTAGACTGATTAGATATGAATATACACAGTGTGGGTGAATGATTTATTAAAATATTTACCTCGGCACTAAACATCTTTTCTGTTTTTGAGAAAATAGTAAAAGTGTGTTTAGTCCATCATATAAAGTGCCACTTCCAGTTAGTCGATTTTTACAAAAAAGTTGCTGTAACATCCCAAGCATATAAAAAGCTCAAAAATGCAATTCCACTTTTGTACGACTTTTCATTTTTGAGCTAGACTGTTAACACAGACACACACACACATACACGCACACACCATTTTGCAAGACTTGGTTATTTCGACTCAGGGGAACATGTATTTCCGGTGAAAACTCAGATTCAAAAATTTTCATGACCGCAATACTTTCCCTAAGTATATATTTCATATATAGATAAGTGAAAGTAATAAGTAACACACTGGATGAATATCCATCAAGGAATCATAAGTATTTTATAATTCCTTATATGTCTTTGGGAAGCAATGAACTGGGGTGCCCATACCCCTCATGATCAATGGCGCATGTACTCCTTCTCCTCCCCTCTCACTCCCAAGAAGTGTTATTGCTCTAATCTTCTTCAAAAGTTCAAGGGGAAATAGAATTAGAAAAATTGTAGATTATAGATGATTATACTTGCTTTTTTTTTTTTTTTTTTTTCCTTCCCTTCCTCACCTTTAAGGCTTTACGGGGTTTTCCCGGGCCAAAGGGTGTGGGACACATGTTAATCCGTTTGGCCACCTCGCCCACTCCCACACGATTATACTTGCTATGGTTTGGGCCACGTTTTTATCCTAGTTCCCTGGTTTGGAACTTTTCGTTACGAAAATTAATACCCCGTCGAAATGTGCATCTCATTCAGAATCTGGTCAAAATGAGCCCCTCTCAAAAAATTTTGATGAAACCCCCTTCTGGGCACCCTTGGCAATGACTGTGCTGTAGGCTAAGGAAAGCATAGTGAAGAGCTGTCAGTCTGTGTGTGAGTCTATAAGGAAGATAGATGTGTTAAAATCAATGGTTTCATATAACATAACATATACCTTCTCCAAAACTAAAAAAAAGTTGAAATTATAAGAAACATTATCTCAATCTTTCAATGATGGACAGAACACTCAATCAAATCCAATATTATGATTGATAGGGAAATATAATTAACAATCACATAGCAATGAGTGAGATAGATAATTAAACCAATTATTTTATTATTCATATAATTTTCAGATGTTTATACTAGAAACAAATGCTCACATCAAATTGGCATATCATAATACTGTAAATGTCTTACGATAATGAGGATCAAACAAAATCTCTAACGATAGTCCAGAGGATGACCCACATGTTTCGGTCGAAACGTCGGCTAACCTAATAAAAATTCTTGACTGTAAATCCTGGCAATTTTGTTTCATCCTAATAATTGATCAGTCGACTAATTGCCCATCCCTAAAGTCTTAAGATAATATTGAAATGTTGGAATTCAAAGTTATATGAAAAATATCTCGACCTCAAACATCAATAGTATCTAAAGAAAATAAAAAAAATATGGGTAATTATGACTAATTTTGAAATAATAAAATTCTCCGCATTACAGGTGCGCCAAAAGGATGAATAATATTTTAAAATTAAGAAAATCTGTCAAAGACAATGATTTAGAAATGGACTTTATACTTCTAAGTAGATATTTATCATTTAATGAAAAAATAAGAAAACTAGCTGACTACCATGAAAAATATTATGAAAATAGACAACTGCTAAGCAAAGTTGTGACGATAAAATATGAATATCAGCAAGTTAAAAGAATACTAACAACAAAATATGCCTCTTTTGCCCATGCAATGAAAATTATTCACCACCTCACTGTAGTAAGTGTTAAAATAAAATATAAAACTGTAATGAGTTTTTAATGAAATATTATCTTAGAATATTCATATAGAATTGCATCTCTTGAATTTTACTGGAGCAATAAAAAAAAACTGTGTATAATTGCCATGATTTCTTGAAATAACAGTAATAGTTAACAGTAGTGAAATAGCCAAGTGGAAATAAATGGGCTTTAAAATAGAGTGCAAACTTAGGCTTGAAAGAAGCTTCTTAGGTCAACTTCAAAGTACCATTTCTTTGACATTTGTCAAGAAAGAGATCAGAGAACTGTAGCACAATACTGACTCCTAAGAATACTTCAGATTGTGAATTAGGTTACCTCTACTCCCTCAATAAGATATTTAAGACAAGCCCTTTAAGAAATGCATGAGCTCTCAAATGTCAGATTTATTTTTATAATTTGATGATCAATATCAAAAAGCCGATGAAGGATCTTCGGCTATTTTCTTATTTCTCTAAAGTAATTTAATACGAAACCTCAAAAATAAGAAGCTAGACTGAATTATGGTAACTGATCCAAGAAACGCCTAAATGACTTAAGAATTAGATTTTGGAACATTTTATCATTGCATAGACTAGGAGCACTTTGTGCACTCCTTGCAGAAGTGGACACATACAGAATTGATGAAGCAGCGATCCAAGAGATCAGATGGATAGGACAGGGAATTATGGAGAAGAAGTACCATACACTCTACTATAGTTGCCATGAAAAGCATCACATCTTCGGTACCGGATTTGTTGTGAGAGACAAAGCTCGACAGCTAGTGATGCGATTTACTCCCATTAACCAAAGGTTAAGCTACATTAGCCTTAAAGGAAATTTTTTAAATTTCTCTCTAATTAACTACCATGGCCCAACAGAGGTGTCACCTCAGAAGGAGAAGGACTCATTCCGTGAAGAACTTGGAAGTGTGACAGAAAGCTGCCCCAAAAATGATGTTAAAATCATACTTAATGACTTTAATGTCCAAGTCGGTAAGGAGGTGGCACTCATGTCAACATGGATCTCCCCGAATGAGGTGAACATCACAGATAGACCATGTACTCATTAGTGCCCATCAAAAGTCCAACATGGTAAATGCAAGATCTTATAGAGGTGCAAATATGGACACAGATCATTGCCGAGGGGAGATCACGAATTTTGCTTGTTAAAACCACCATCAACGACCAAAGTAGAAGATTGATGTAGCTAAACTAAAGGACCCAGACCACAAACATTCCTATCAAGAAGCTGTGGAGAGGAAACTTAATGAAGAAGTAATTAATGAGTTCTCAGAGAAGCATTTACAGGACCTTGTAGCAGCTGCAAGACGACTTGATATAAAGGTCAATGAGAAGAAAACCAAGTATATGAGAGTTGGTGGTGAGGTGGATCTGAACTCTCCATTTGAGATAGGATCTTTAAAGTTTGAGAGAATAAAAAGCTTTATATACCTTGGATCTGAAGTAAATAGCAAGAATGACATGGTTCAAGAAATACAGAGAAGGATCATAGCTGACAACAGACCAAGTGTCTTTGGACTTAGCCTACACTTTAGAAGTAGGTATCTCTCAAAGAAGACCAAGCTGATTATATACAAGACCCTTGTACAGCCAGTTTTGACTTCTGGCTCAGAGACTTGGACGATGAGGAAAAGTGATGAGATGAAACTGAGTGTGTTTGAGCGAGGAATTCTCAAAAGAACATATGGTCCAGTAAAGGAGGGTGATGTCTGGAGGAAAAGAAAAAATAGGGAGCTCAGTTCTCTTCATACAGACATTGACGTAGTCACCTACATTAAACTTGCCAGACTAAGGTGGCCAGGGCTTGTGGACAGAACGAGCGCCTTTGAAATACCCAAAAAAATAATGATTGAGAAACTGCACCTCGCAAGATGGGTAGGAAGGTCAAGGACGAGATGGTTGGACAACGTGGTCTATGATGCAAGAACCCAGCTTGGCGTACGGAACTGGAAAGCTTGCAACAGAAGATAGAGCCAACTGGTGGAGGCTCTTGGAGAGGAGGCCCAGTCTCAGTAAGGGGATGTCGTGCCACATATTTATGTATGTATATTATTTTCTTCAAAAACCTATCAGGACTAGGTTTCAACTTTACAGAAGCTAGTGTCCATTCTTGATTCCAGAATGGGTCAACAGCTGATAAATCATGGCATTAACTGTAAATCATACTGTTAGAATTTCTGATTTCAAACTTTATTATGAAATCAACAACATAATAATTTATTAATTTCAGAAAGAAAAAATGATAGAAGCTGAAGTTCAGGGAATAAGAAACCGCAAAGCTGCATGGCAAGTTTTTATCAAAGATGGGATACGTCACAAACCAATAAAAAATTAATTCATAATATAAAATTTTACAACCACTTTTAAAATATCTATCAGGTCAAAAAAAAGTACTCAGAATAGTTATTTTAAGAAATCATATCAGATAATTGTCAGTTAGTACTCCTTCAAACTAAAGTAACTTTTTTTTTTTTTTAATTTCCCCAGTTGTCCATATTTTATTTATAAATATCCTAAAAACTAAATAAAATTATGATAAAACC